TACCACCATGAACTTAGTATCTATGGCGAAACTCAGTACACCCCAACTATTCTTGGTCAAAAATACCTGTTGCCGATGTAACCTGCAAATAATAGCTAAAGGAATAACCACTCAGTACCACAAAAGCCTTATCTATAAGTCACTCGACTACTGCGTGGTCCAAATAAGACGTACCTTCTTAAGCCTGACACTGGTTTACAACAGCAAAGGCGGGTGCACCACAATTTAGCAATTCCTCACGGTACAGTAATTTACAGCTGCAGGATTAGGTTGGTGCTTCTAGTCACTAAAACTACAAGGCACACGAAAATACTCATAATGGAGGATCTAAGTTTTTCCTTCCTCAATGGCACACTGCTCTCAACTTCTTATTGCGGATTTACTGCCTCATTCATATTGAAGCTCGTCTGAATCAGTAAGGAAGTGAAGCTTGAATGCACCAATCACCAAGCGCTTGTCATATGAAATCACTTATTCGTCCTTTATTTTCCATACGCGACCAATGTAAGTGCAAAAATAGTCCATGTTCCTCCATCCAGTGTTACAAGCCTCAGTGTATGCGAATAATTGACAAATCTTGAAAAATTAACCAGAGCAAAAGGTACGGACATTCGACACATGAGTGCCGTAAATTAGACCGTATCTCGAGCTAAGGTTAACCACAACATTCGATTTTCCAAGGAATCGCACCAGAAGAAGAACAAAGAATTGGATAGCGGCGTGAAACGCGGCTTCAAAAATGAACTCCTTCCTGATGGATCGGGCGCAACTATCCGTAAGACCTCAATAAAAAAACTTCATCTTTGTTGTACAAAAAGCAAGCAAACTTGGAAAGCTTTAAATGCTGCTCGATTCACTAGCAGTCCCTTGCCTACATGTTGACATTCGTACACCTTCGTTATAAACAGACTATAGTCCAACGCAAACCTTAGCGCATCGTTTAAACAGAGTATGTTTACATATAGACCTATTTCACACAGATTTTCTCACGTCCGTGCGCTCTTTCAGCGTAAGCTGGTCCAAGGCACGCAACCCTGACCGAAGCGTCCACGGAACTCAAACGAATGACTCTACGACGTAGCGTCGTTCAAGCCATTAATAAAACTAATCCAAGGAATCTCATTCCCGACCCTGTCAAAACACTGATTTCTTTTTGTAAAGATCTATTGCGTACTAATTATCAAGGAACACTGAGAGAATGGCGCTATTAGGTTTTCGAACGTCTTGATCCAGCCAAACTCCGTCCGATTACTCTCTTACCAGCTCTCTCAAAAGTCATGAAATCCCTCTTAACAAACCATTATTTGGCAGTCCTTGTGTGTCAATAAATACTCCTAACTAAGAAGCGTGAAGTTAACATTAAAATGGTGTCTGAAGAGCCCTCTTCTTATAAGATAATACTAAACACTGCAATCTTTCTTGGCCCAATGGTAGCTGTGAAAGAGACACCTATAACATGTTCACGAAAATATCTTCTAAATTATGCAGCATGAGCCTGTTTGGTGGCCAGTTTCATGCATTAAACTGTGTTCAAAATCTAGTAGTTTCACTGAGGTCTGATTACCGGGCGAATGTAGGAAGTTTCGGTAGAATTTTGAGACTGCTGCATTTCTCCCTTTTATCTTCTGAGTACACGAAAATCCAGCCTCTTTTGTTAAAGGCGATTGCGCCCTGTAGTAGGAATATGCTGCTTCGCAGCTGCCTAACCCAAAACTCGAACTTCTTGGTGTGCTGTAGCTGTCACAGTTGGTAGTGTGCAACTGACAGGAAAAGATCACCTTAGTTAGCCGACTAAATCTGGCCCTGGGGAGACTTGCGAGCGATGCAGGACGTTTGTCCTTCCGACACATACACTGTATCCTCCCAGCGGTTAGTTTTCTCCTCTTTGTTTGACAACCAATGTCTGTCAGTTTTATATGCCAATCGTTTTGCAGCTACCGTCCCCGTTTTGCCTCCGGTTTTATTTCCTCGGATTCAAACGGGCTAAAGTTTTTCAAACTGTTTCAGACACTACTTTGCACAATGTGGCATATGGTAATAGCTTTCTCGTCGTGAAATTTACCGATCTGGTACAAAGGGAAAATCCCGGTGTGGATTCCAGCATATTATTGGTTTGCAATCTAACACAAGACCATCATTCTCCTGTGACAATTAACTGGCCGTATGACTGCTGAGTTGAACTCGACAAGACAGAAGCATAATTAGCTCCGTGTAGTTTACTTTTCTCCGGTTACTCATTCTTTCAGAAAAGCTAGTTTCTAGAACGCACGTAATACTACGCTTTTGGACCGATTGAATTAACGAAATGAAACGCATCTAGTCTCTAAAACCTGGCGGTACTCGAGTACAGAAAACTGAAACTCAAAAGTATATCTATCACAACTTTTGACTTTGTCATCCTAACCCACGGGTGAAACTTATGGATAGTGGTAGTGATTTTCTGGTTCCCTAAACATGCGTGTACTCCCCAGTCAGCCATCCTACTAAACTGTTAAGTTTGCCCCGAGTTGTTACATTCAAACAAAACACAGGAATTATTATAGGTGTTTGTCCTACGGATCGTATCTCAATTATTTATGGAACGGAGTCTTCGATCATTCTCACTCGTTCGATCATACCGGTGCTTTTTAACTATCATCGACGTTTTATTCATAATATTTATTTTTAGTGGGGAAAAGTTTAGCTACGATTAATAAATCATCTTTACGAAGGGTTTGGTAAGAACTCAAGGAATTAGTTTCTGGGTTATTTCTTACCTTTAACGAGAGGGAGTGAGCAAGTTACCAGAAAGGCCGGGTTTTAATGCAGACGGATAGGCATTCAGCAAGATGTCTTTCGACTACTGCACTAAACTGCTGCTAACTGCTGGTTCGCAGTTCTTCTAGGTTAGCTAGTTAGTGTGCATGTGTGTGATTGTCTAGAGCGTATGAATTGACGCATTTTCAGATGTATGACATGCTGTAACGATCCCTGCGTTTTCGTACTTCGAAAAATTGTGTTTTTAGACAACAGCTGAATAATATTTGCTTGTGTATTGGCCCCACAATAATCAACAACCTTTAAAATCACTTAGAGAACCAATTTCGCCGCCGAACGGATAATCGATTTGGTAATTGATCAGTGGCTTTTGATCTGTGTATCGAGCTTGGCAAATAATTTGCAGACGCCTCGTTACCATTCAAGGAGTCCTCTTCAGTGCGCTATCGGGTGGGATATTTCTCTTAGCTAATAGCGCACTGAAGATGTCTCCTTTGATTGAGGCAAGGCGTCGCAAATTAGTTGCCATGTCCGGTGAACGAATCAACAGACACCTGATTAATTACAAATTAATGCACCCGAGCTATCAAGATTCCAGCATATTACTAGAAAACAGATGTTTTAGACATCTGATGTGATTACTTTTGAGGATCTGTATTTTTGGTGCTTCTGCAAACTCTGCATTGATCCTTCAAGCAATAATTTCGCTAAAATGGAATGTGCCTCGGTCAAGTAAATGTGGTTAACATAGTCGTAGTATTCAGGCAGGAGTGGCTATGATTTACGCCTAAAATGAGTATGAAAATGGCACCTGTACAACGCTTCGGTGGAATCGAAACCTGGTTTCGCACTTTGGCACTACTTGCAGCTGAAAAGCAAAATCGATGCACAATACTCAGCCAGTGGCCTAAGCAGACAAGTGTGGACACATTTCGGTAGAACTATGTAAAAGTGAACTGGCGAGCGTGAACCACACTATGACCGTGCTAAGACAGTTTGGATGTGATTGATGAGTTCACAGTCGATACCTAATGACCGAATTAGTCTAATTCAGGTTGTCGGTAGGGAAAGACCGCGTGAAGATTGATGGCAGTAGACGTGGCGTAACCGTGTGTAAGGATATCACAATGACTGTCACCGATAGACATTCTTGCCAAACGTTTGTGGCCCACTCGTATTTTATTTGTCCTGTCTTGTTTAGCAACTATATGCACTTCTTTGTGCACTACTGTTTCTGAAAGTACTTTTACCTGGCTCATGGGCGGGGACAGATGACAGACCCAATTTTATATTACTTGATGAAGGATAAACAACATGTCTTCCGAAACAATGTATTTCAATGTTAATGCTGATGAAATCAAGTTTGGAAAAGAATGCTCCCACAACCATTCACAACTCCTGCTTGTTCTTTCGGTGAAGTGACAGAAAATAAGGCAAAACACCTTCTTAGCCATGAGCAAATTTTTGCTCATTACAGTATGTCTTGGCTGATAGGTGGTCCGGCGTCAGAAGACGTCTGGCAGAAAAGGCACGTACATGAAAGGGCATCAGTGGCCAATAGTTTTTTCTTGTCCCGCTGTAACTACTAACAGGTTTGTATGCCTAAAGCTGAATCTTTCCACTACAATCTTGCTGTCCCGATGAGGCGGTTTTGTTTGGCTTCTACTGAAGAGGGGACGCGATGTACTCGGGTTATACCAGTGCGCATTCCAGAAACCCCGCATCTACCCATACCTAACCATAAATTGTCTTAGGATTTTCAAATTTTTTTTACGGCAGTCTGATTTGACAGACCAGTCGAACGGTCGACGAAACCGGTACAGTTGGTTGGAATTCGTGCAGTGAGGACAAGAATGAACACGTTCCCCTGTTCAGAAGTGATCATTCGGTAGCAACCGGCATGTAACAATTAGGTGTTCACTCTGCATTTGGGGTTCGATTCCTGACATGATCAAGGATAGGGATTGCTGACAGGCTCGGGCTTGTTTAAAGGTGAACTAACTAGAATCGACTAGCTGGACGGGAAATCATTGTCCAAATAGGAGTTAACAGACGCTCCCATCACGAGTGAAACGGAATAAAGAAGTAATACTCCGGGTGGTTCTCACATTGCTTTGGGAACCAAAGCAATAGAAAGATACTCGGAAGTTATACTTAGGTATTGCCAGTGTATCCACATGTACTTTTCGTTGTTTTCAGGCAAACCTGTTGTAGAAAACTGATCCACTGATTACTTAACGAATATGAACACTGCGGATGACAACACAGAAACTGCAGAAGAAACGTCCAAGGTAACCTGATAACAACATTTTAATGTGGATTTTTATACAGGCATCAAGATGGAACGCGATGAGAGAAAAACGACAATCCCGAATCCGTCCTCCCGAGAGTTCCAAGGCGAAGAAGGGTGCAACCACGCGGGAAGAACAAATCAACGAGCAGGAATCTGACAAACCAGACATCCTTGACCTATTTGCCAAGGATGAACTTATGGAAGGGTGCATACCTTTATTCCTGTCGAAAGCAACCCAGCAGGTTTTTAACGTTGTTGCTGATGAAAATGTTACGCGACTGAAGCCAAGCGTACTAATTCAGAAATCGGAGATACTTAGGGATATTCAAATGCGTGCCTCTGTATCCGATTTCAGCGTCCATAAGACCATCATCAATGGCTATAATGGGCTAGAAATTTTGGTGATTTATGACGCAGATATGAAGTTTGGTGAGAACTTTGTTTTGGTTACGAATGAGGAGGTTAAAAATCATATCCTCAATCCCATCGAAGATCAGATGGACCAGCAAAATGATGACGATGACTCGGATGCGGAACTCGAAGAAGCCAGCGACTCGGTAACATTCTACCGTCCTAATATTCGTCGACCGTGGATTAGTCTTGGTTCAGACAAAGAGGTAATGGAATCTTCCATCATAGAGACCCGCCCAAAAGTATACACAATCTTTCAGCGGCCAAGACGCGAGTTTGGGGCACCGGTAACTTTTTCCGACCGAGACGCGACAGATAAAGGTGCTAGTAGTTTGGTGACTACAGTACCAGAAAAGGCAAATGAAATTCCGATAATGGAAGTGGACAAAAGTGTGTCTAACGCTCAATCAACAAGCGAAAGTGGAACAAACACGGACTGGAAGTATCCTCGCAACGCTTTCACCCAATACACTCCAAGAGTATTGACAGCGGAAGAACTGCAAACCATGTACGCCCCAGGTGGTCCGCTTCAGGATATAGGCAAACACTTTCCAACATTGAAACAGGGATTGTTGCAAAACATGATGTATGATTTCTTGGCAAGTGATTTTGAGAATTTGGCAGCTGGGGATGAGACGTATGACACACGGGCAGACAATACATTTAAAGAATTCTTATCATTCACCGACCTGAAGTTCAGTAAGGATAAGGCGGTAACTGACATTCAGTGGCACCCCACAATCAAAGGAATTGTGGGAATGTCTGTGGGAGAGCGAATTGACTATGACCACCGTGCTGACCAGTGTTGTCGCATACTCCTCACTTCGACTCATATTATTTTATGGAGCTTTGCGGATCCCATTCAACCACAGTTGCTTCTGGAAGCGCCGGAAGATATTCTCTGTTTCCAGTTTAACCCTACGGACCCGAACATTGTAGCAGGTGGATGTTTCAACGGAATGGTTGTTCTTTGGGATATTGAGAAGCACATGGAAGACCTACGTAAAGTCAAAGCAAGAATGAAAACAAAAAACAAGGCTCCGCTTTTTTCCTTTGATGACGCAGATCCCAACAGAGTTCCCGTTTCTCCATACTGTGCCGTCAGTAACATTGAGGCTTCGCATACGTCTCCAATATTAGACTTGAAGTGGGTACCCGATCATGTGGAAATTAACCGACTGGGCTACTGCCTTGAAAATGTCAGTCTCAAATGCGTACAACTCATCACAAGCGGGCTGAATAATGAGCTGTTGTTCTGGGACATACGCCCAGACCGGTCACCTCTAGCAGTTGATAAAACCCGAGACTCAATTGTACCTCCCCGTAATGTACCGACCACGTTTATGGCACTGGATATGAAGTGGAAACCATTGCTTAGAGTGCACTTGTACAAATCTGAACCAGGAGGAGATCATGCCCCAACTAAATTTTGCATTCGGGTTAGTTGTCTGGTATGCCATTTTTCTACATTGTTGATCCAAGTCTTTGTTTCGGTGGTTTCATCCAAAATTTTCAGTAGTTTACCCCGTAGCTCCATGAAAAGTGGCGTTGATAATCATGATTGTATCCCATGTGGTGGTACCAATGACCTACTGCGTAGCTGGATAAATTGTAGTGCAAAGTTTGAACTTATGCTCGTAGAATTTTGCCCATGATGATTACCTCAAGGCGCCTATTTCCTTCTATGTCCAGAGAGTCTGACTAATAAATTAGCATCCAAAGTATGCTCTTACCAAGGTTGGTGTGCTATCCTGTAGACCATGGAAACTAGTGTGCTAAAGCTGTTCAGGCTGCGGTTCTGCTCAGGAATCCACGTGAGCAGAATTCAGAAGCTATCCTCAGTGTTAATTCCTAGAATGTCCTTTTTTAGCTTCCAAGGTAAAACCCTTTTGATCGTTTCCTCCAAGTGGTTGTTCCAGACGAACATACGTGCCGATAAAAGGCTGCTTAGTCAATAGTCGCACAGGTTGAGAAACTACCGTATATCAGCTAAAGGTTCAGAGGAATTCCGGTCGACAGTACGGGTAGCTGAGTTTTAAAAAAAGACATCCTAATTTGATTACGACACTGGAGGAAATAACCAAGGTTCGAAAAAACTCACAGTCCTCCACTTTCAACATGATTCCTGTAGATTACAAAGGAATTTTTTCAAAAACTCGGACTATATTATTCGCCAGTGTACCCATAAGTGGGTCACCGTTGGTACGCACAATAAGGTGGTTGGCATGTTCCTAAAGAGACCTGAACACAACTGGGAGCTTATTTCACTATTGGATTTTTACGACTTTTTCAAGTCAGAAAGTCTTTTTGAAGCATACCGAAACATGCCCATCGTGTGCTCACTTCAACTGCTCTAGAGTAGTTATGACGAGTCTCCCGTAATACCGTCTGCTTTAGCGTTATTAGTCAACACCAAAGTAACACATGTGATGTACTTGGACGTCTCTAGAGTCCACGTAATTTTCATGCAAACATTACATTTGACGCCAACATAAACGGTGTCCGATAATCGTTTTAGACCAGCCAAGGTGCGCAAAATAGCAGCCTGGACTCGGATAGCGCTGCGCTCCAGTTTTGCCTGAACTAGTTATCAGGAACTTCGGTCAATTCGTTCGGAAAAAAGCAGTAGTACGTAACCGTGAAGCCTTATGACCACATATAGATGTACTTTGCGGTCAGACTATATGTGTAGGCCTGAAGGCCAGTTCTCAATGCAGTGATTCCCAAGACACCCTCCCGAAAAAGGGACACGCTCCATGGTTTCCAAGAGGAGTGATATGTGCCAGATTTCTGTCGGATACCCAGAAAGTGATTAGGGTGCTCCCATCTCCATTAAGAATCCACGAACCTCGTTTCAGGTGATTTTGGGCCCAAAGCAGGCAATTTATATGACCACCTATCCAGGATACAGGAAATTATCATAACACTATGAAATTTCTTTCCAAGTCTCACAAAAAACCTCATTTTAGAAGCTTGTTGTGAATCTCTTCTGCGCCGACATTTTAGTCCATTGTTCCCGTCGCTTTCACTCTTTCGCCCTTCTGATGTTATAGTACAAACCCTTAGGTTGCAGCGAAAAATGCATTATAAAATATGAAAGCCACACTAATAGAACCTTCTTTGGAGACGGCTGAACTGGCATCAAAAGTGGTTGGTGGTCTTTTGGTGCAGCATTTATTAATCTACATTGATGGTGAATTGACGAGCTTGCATGTTTTGGCGAATGATACCTCTTTGCGAACACAACAGCGGACCCAGGCAAGGGGCCCAGATATCTGAGTCTGAAAGGGTGCTGACTAAGATTTCCATGCCCGATGCAATGTAAATTCCAGTGAGAAAATGAAGTTAGCTGGCTCCATAGGCAAGTGTAGTGATGCGATCTGCGAATATCCAGTCGGGTGTGTGAAGGCCGTGCTCCGGTAAGCTCTATGGTCAGTAATCTAAAAGTCTTCAATGTTAACCCAACTTTAATCCGTAACTATAGTTCTACATGATTTTGGCCCGCTTTCAGGAGGCACAGGGTGATCGTCGAATTTTGAACGCAAACGTTGAAGATCGAACGAATCCAGCAATGAAATCGTCCACACTGAAGAATAAACCTCTTCAGGGGGCCAGTACTATGCTTTATGTTGGCACCGAAGACGGAGACCTCGTCTACGTAGACTGGATGCCACAGAAAGACCCGGATACGGGAAAAATGCAGACTCCTAAACCGGAATTCTATGCAACTCAACATGACGGTCCGATTTCTTACCTCGCTAGATCGCCATTCGAGCCGTCCGTTTTACTGGTGGTCGGAGGCTGGACGTGGTCCATTTGGAAGGAGGGTGTAAATAGCGGACCCCTTTTGGAATCCGGTCATGCACAAAAACCGCTGACAGGTAAGTGGAATTAGGATTCAAAAAAGTTTCTGTCCGTAGCACTAACTGAACTGGCCGACGTTCCAAAGAAAGAAACTCTATCCACCGAAAGGTTCCATAAACTTACGCTCACTTTACTCTCATAATGATGCACCGATACGTCGCGCGGTTCATCATCATCATCGACAGCATCACATCAGTGTTCAACACTGATGCTTCACTGCCGTACAACCATGATTTATTTGAAAGCCTTATTGTAAAGAAAAGAGTAAAGGTGGACGGGGAAGGGACTTAGTGCTAGCTTACCACAATCATTCCGAGGTGCCTACACCTCCAGACATTCACCCAGGCAATCGCGCGGTTGGAAAACCTAGAAAGTCAGATGCATTTTGTCAATGCCAATTACAATGTCAATGTCAATTACAAAAACACCACTAGACTTTGGCTTATTCATTTAGTTTATTGCAACCAGCTGTGTTCTATAGAGCCTCCCTCCTACGAAGGCGCACGATTACATCCTTCTCGGGCAGCACAGTATCGATCTGAGGTGTGACGACCCATGGCCGTTTTGCAACGCTCGATGTTGAATAGCCATTTTTCCAACTGAATCCTTTTTATTCACCTTCCAAACAGCAAAAACTGACCGTGTTCTGAATGCTAGTGATTCGGTTCTCATTTCCTATGCAATTTATTAGGTGTGGATCGACTGGCTTTATAGTTTTGCGCGTATTTCTTTTGAAAACCCAAGGGGTTAGTGTATAGTTTAGGTCTCAAGCACCAGATAGGTGTCCCATGCTCACAGAGGTAAACTTATCATTTCTATGGTTGATAACCCCGAAGTAGCCGTAATCGATTTGATTTGTTTTTTCACCGGCCAACATTTAGGAAACGATCATCTTAAACTGGCACGCACGCATGTCCGTCACGGATGAAAAAATGCAAAGTTAGAAGATGGAGAAACTTTCGAAAAATTTCCGAATTTAAGACTCACTAGAAGGATATGTACAACACAGTGCAGTGGTAAGGAATTCAGGGCAAAGTCTTTAAGACAATAAAATGCTGAATAGTTGGGGACATCTGTGCAATAAGTATGCAGTATACTATGGATCAAGTTCACCTCCGGCGTCCTTTCGCTCATATACTGTATGCTGGGACTTGGTATTTTAAGACAGTGAAGCAGCGGTGTCGAGCACTGATGTCATGCTGTCGATGATGACGAATTTAAGGAATACGTCGAGAACTGAAACCCACTTTGGCTAACAACACAGTTTCACAGAGCTAAAAGTGGGTGCTGCACATTTGTTGCCTTTGACCGCGGACAGCAGGAGCCACCTTGGAGCTGTAGCATAGTACACTGAGTCAACGACTGCACCTGCGTTTTTGTAACTGTTTCGCTCTCTCCCTCTCGTTATCAAGATCCAATTAAATTCCTACCGTTCCCAGCCCGATCAAATTAAAAGAGGTCCCCAAATCCATCGGACCTACTGTGACCCAACTAAAGCCTCAAACTCCCGCAAACAGTTATCGAATCCACGATATTCTTTACGATTTTTGACTTCAGGAAACGCGCAATGGAGTGACACCGTACATTTTAGTTCAAAGCCTCAGCAACTACCAGCATGCTTAGAAACAGATGTAGTTCTTTCAACAAACTAACTGGATATTTTAATCTCACTTTTGTTACAATAAACAATTAGTCTAAATGGGAAATAGTGTTTTGTCTACTACTTTGCTGCGCCTGCAACTCAGTTAATAGGTAAGTTTACTGTGGCGTAAGTAGCGAATTTGCACCCTGACCAACCATTCAAAACTAAATCGTAGTGGAGACTACTGATAAGCGGTCAAATGGTGCGATATATGCTATAAGGTCAAAGAGCGTGTTGATGTCGCAAGCATGGCAAACCAGTCAGTGCGCTAGTGTGACAAGATTCATCTTGATATGGGAAGAATCTGACGTCGTAGAGAGTGCCAATCTGAACAAGAACCGACGGAAAGGTTGAATCATTTTCACCACATAAGGTCACCGAACATCCCTGGCTGGAAACAATTAGTAGGAAGAAAGCTTTGCGCGGTTCAAAGTTGAAAGTAGACAAAACTATTTAGCAATATGCCACACAGTTCGTCACCCAATTCCCCTCTTGGAATGCTTTTCGGCTCGTTGAGACGACGGATAATACTTATCCGGTTAACTGGGGTGTTTCAACGTTGACGATGTTCGGCAGATTCAAGTGTCTCTAACTGCGGCATATCACTGGTCAACGGGTCCCACATATTGATGGGTTTCATTACACTGATCTCCGTTGAATGCGCCTGTCACTATCCCACATGAATGGATGATGTTTAACTCGCTGGTCGTTCTACCATCCTTTTTAATAGATAACACAACTTGCCTAGCTGTGATCGCACCGCTGTTTATATTTTTTGAACCACCGGAGGCAGCTGGTCACCTACACGACCTTCAGTATTCTTCATATGTAGAGCCGATGGCAGCCTGGAAGTATGGGACCTACTAGACAAAACACATGAGCCGGCTATGGTCCAATCGGTGTCAGCAAATGCACTTACCGCTATCTCACTGTGCAATTTCTCAAAAAGACAGATTGTCGCAATCGGGGACACCCAAGGAGCTTTACAGCTGTTTGTGGTAAGTTTCGTCTATTGGAAAGTCCCAAAGGAACTTGTGCACGCATACACAGTAATCCTCCACCATAAGAGTTGACGCAGAAGAGTTTTCGCCAGATTTCAATAGGATTTCGCAACTCCGGGAGGACGAGTCCTCTATAAGATACATGATTTGGTTTCTTGAGAATTTCTACCGACAGTTTTGATAAAAATGCCTTTAACCTGGCCACATATCCGAGGAATGCTTGAAGGATCACCTTGCATCTCTTGAGTTAGGGGGCGCGCCACCATACACAAATGGCTTACAAGCTGTTAAAAACGGTTAGACATCCTAATTCACGTAGGCCAACAGTGGCTGAAACCCAGAACCGGAAAGATGTTCTTATTACTCACACTGCGACGAACGATATAGGGGAATATATCCTCCTTCCCAACACTACTTCTATGGTGTCATTTGTCATGCGATAGTTGTTTGTCGTAGAACCTTTATTCCCATGGTGTACAGGAATGTGGAGAAACCCGGATACATGAACTTTTTTGGTCAAGGTAAACTTTTGGTACATCCCTAGCTTGTCAGTGATTGCTGAGAGTCTACATAAGATCGATCCCGGAGTTCAGTCATCGTCAGCGCCATCACTGACGGAAATAAAAACCGATGCCTAGCTGTCATACGTTGTATGTGAACTGAATTACTACCAAAGTACCAAACCCACACGGAAGGACGACTAGGAGACTCAGCCAAAGCCAATGGTTCAAAAGCCTGCCCGAAAAGTATTGGAAAAGACTACCGGAATAGTTTAAATTTTGAAGAATAAGATGTCACACATGTTACAAACCAAGCCACGAAAATACTTGCTTCAACCCTCAAAACACCGTCACTGAGTGTCTTCCTACATGAACACCTGTATCATACAGCAAATGCGATAATTCCCTTAGTTCACCAGTAAAACCATCCACTTCAATCTGGCTGCTTTTGTCTTTGTATGGCGAAGCTATGACGGGTGGGTGTCATAGCCATTCTCGGTTCCACTCCTCCAACTCGACGGACCGGACGTTTGAGGATATCAGCACCCTCAAAAGTTGGTATCTTGATAAACTAGCATCAGACCTCTTGGCTGTTGCATTTTGTTTTGAATTTATCACCGGATTTCCAAACAGCGCTGATATTCAATTTTAGCTTTACTATCAGTAATGTTGATTAGGATGGATAGAATCTGTTATCACTTGCAGGTACCTCGACGCCTCAGATCCATACTGGCCTCAGAACTTGCCAATTTCAATGCCTACATTGAACGTGAAGTGCGACGTCGAGAATTCGTGCTGATGCGTTGGAACCTTCGTGAGCAAGAGAAAATTGAACAAGAAGCTGAAAGGAAGAGACAGGCCGGGATCGCACCTGCTGTCGTGCTCACAGAAGAAGAAACGCTGCAGAAGGAAGCGGTATGCATGTTTGAAGCCCTTAACTTGGTAGAACTTTGTAGCACTAGTGGGGGATCTTCTCCGGTAAACAAAATCACAGGAAGCACATCGATGATATATAGTTAAGAGCTGAATGAATGACTGGTGCAAAAAGGGCGAGCCACTGTACAAAATTATCGGAAGTGTTGTTGCATAAACGTTATCATGCTATGCCTAAAACCCACTTAGTCAAAAAGCCGTGACACCGGGTATGTTGGTCGATTTGTGCCAGCACTTCTGACGTTCAAGTAAACAAGTTGAACCTGCAACGCAATTTCATAGTATGCGCAGTGACCGCTTAGAAAAGTACACGAAGTTCGCAAACTCAAGTCTCTCGTCCGCTTTGTCATGTATTTTACAAAGTTTTGTGAAAAATGGGATGAGCAAATTAGCCTCGATTTAGTCATATTAAGTACAAAAACGATACTCAGTGGAAAGGGTCCTTTGGAATGACCAAAATCTGCCCGTTCACCAAAAAAATACGTTTCATGCTCATACTCATTCAACAAAGTGTCGCGGTTGACTTCCTTACCTCACCAACCCAGTGTGAGGACATTCGAAAATCGAATTTTGGTAATGTTTTTTGTACTGCGATTTAATAGACTAATCTATCTCTGTAGTTAACGGTGTTTTGCAACAGGGGTAATGATGGAAACGCAACCAAATTGTTGAGCGGCAAAACAGTGCCAGGGGAAAAAGATGATGATGTGCTCCCCTCATCAACCGAAGCTTCTGAACAATGACGAATCATAAGTAAAAAACTCACGTGGATAGAAACGTGTGATAACTTTAGGTGCGCTCTAGGAAGTCTTTTTAAGGCGTGTTTATGGAATCGGCTGTTGTCGAACGCTCTGCGCCTCTGATCAAAGAAAACACGCGACCATGTTTCCAAAAGTGTAATCAATTCTGGCCTTGATAGTGTAATATCCAGGTCCATCTCTCTTAGCTTTCCCCCAGCGTACTGCGTCACGGAGCTAGCAGGTAACTTATCCAGGTGGGCATTTCGACGCTTTGTGAATTACATTTGGCTCGCCCTTATGGTGTTGAAGCACCCTAATTCGTTTAGTTACTCTAGCTATTTTCGGGTGGATAGGGGCGGTTCGGTAACTAATAGAAAAACCCCTATTCTGTCCATCACAATGAGGCTGCTAAGGAAATGTAGACTGACCTTTCTCATCTAATTACATTCATCCAACAGCTCGAGTACGAAGAATATTTGAAAAACGAGCAAACATTTCTTCGGCAACTAGGTATCGTTAAAGAAGAGTAGCGAGGAGGCGCACCAACTACGGGCGGATAAGTGCTGTACAAAATGTGAAATCAGCTACCTACCTCAAGTGATTTCAACCTATTTCACGTTCAAACGATGTGGAGTGCTTGTATTTCCCACGAAGAAATAAACACTTATTGAACCAGTCAGTTTTTGTACCTGGTTTCGATCGGACGCGTCGAAGTCGTCCAAAATTTCATTCATTTGTTTTTCCGGTAAGGACTACAACTAATTACAACTTAAAGGAGCCAGGATGCGAACTGAAGGTGTCAATTACCGTTTTACACACTGCAGTTGTCTCCTATGTGGAAGGTGTTGAAAGTGTGGTTCCCAGTGGGAAAGTATTGACCACCGAAATAAACGCTGTATGGTGAGAATGTTGAGGACACATAAGTTGAACTTGAGTTCACCAAGTTTTTGAGTAGTGGGGGATCTTCTCCGGTAAACAAAATCACAGGAAGCACATCGATGATATATAGTTAAGAGCTGAATGAATGACTGGTGCAAAAAGGGCGAGCCACTGTACAAAATTATCGGAAGTGTTGTTGCATAAACGTTATCATGCTATGCCTAAAACCCACTTAGTCAAAAAGCCGTGACACCGGGTATGTTGGTCGATTTGTGCCAGCACTTCTGACGTTCAAGTAAACAAGTTGAACCTGCAACGCAATTTCATAGTATGCGCAGTGACCGCTTAGAAAAGTACACGAAGTTCGCAAACTCAAGTCTCTCGTCCGCTTTGTCATGTATTTTACAAAGTTTTGTGAAAAATGGGATGAGCAAATTAGCCTCGATTTAGTCATATTAAGTACAAAAACGATACTCAGTGGAAAGGGTCCTTTGGAATGACCAAAATCTGCCCGTTCACCAAAAAAATACGTTTCATGCTCATACTCATTCAACAAAATGTCGCGGTTGACTTCCTTACCTCACCAACCCAGTGTGAGGACATTCGAAAATCGAATTTTGGTAATGTCTTTTGTACTGCGATTTAATAGACTAATCTATCTCTGTAGTTAACGGTGTTTTGCAACAGGGGTAATGATGGAAACGCAACCAAATTGTTGAGCGGCAAAACAGTGCCAGGGGAAAAAGATGATGATGTGCTCCCCTCATCAACCGAAGCTTCTGAACAATGACGAATCATAAGTAAAAAACTCACGTGGATAGAAACGTGTGATAACTTTAGGTGCGCTCTAGGAAGTCTTTTTAAGGCGTGTTTATGGAATCGGCTGTTGTCGAACGCTCTGCGCCTCTGATCAAAGAAAACACGCGACCATGTTTCCAAAAGTGTAATCAATTCTGGCCTTGATAGTGTAATATCCAGGTCCATCTCTCTTAGCTTTCCCCCAGCGTACTGCGTCACGGAGCTAGCAGGTAACTTATCCAGGTGGGCATTTCGACGCTTTGTGAATTACATTTGGCTCGCCCTTATGGTGTTGAAGCACCCTAATTCGTTTAGTTACTCTAGCTATTTTCGGGTGGATAGGGGCGGTTCGGTAACTAATAGAAAAACCCCTATTCTGTCCATCACAATGAGGCTGCTAAGGAAATGTAGACTGACCTTTCTCATCTAATTACATTCATCCAACAGCTCGAGTACGAAGAATATTTGAAAAACGAGCAAACATTTCTTCGGCAACTAGGTATCGTTAAAGAAGAGTAGCGAGGAGGCGCACCAACTACGGGCGGATAAGTGCTGTACAAAATGTGAAATCAGCTACCTACCTCAAGTGATTTCAACCTATTTCACGTTCAAACGATGTGGAGTGCTTGTATTTCCCACGAAGAAATAAACACTTATTGAACCAGTCAGTTTTTGTACCTGGTTTCGATCGGACGCGTCGAAGTCGTCCAAAATTTCATTCATTTGTTTTTCCGGTAAGGACTACAACTAATTACAACTTAAAGGAGCCAGGATGCGAACTGAAGGTGTCAATTACCGTTTTACACACTGCAGTTGTCTCCTATGTGGAAGGTGTTGAAAGTGTGGTTCCCAGTGGGAAAGTATTGACCACCGAAATAAACGCTGTATGGTGAGAATGTTGAGGACACATAAGTTGAACTTGAGTTCACCAAGTTTTTGAGAGGCATAAAATTTGTGATCATGTTCAGCTGCCCTAGTCTTCGCAGCAACAGTTGGGCTTTCCATGCGTCACCAAAGGAAGTAAACTTGCATTAAAAAGTTCTCCCATATTTATTGAACGAACTTTCAAAAGTTCGCCCAGATTTAGTGCCCAAATTGAATTCGGTAATCAAGCTGATAGCAGTATCCGTGAAAGAAGACGGGAGTCTAACTGCTTTTGTTGTAGTACTTGCTATGGACTATTCTGGAGTACCGGCATCTCATCATAAAAGTGAAACAGCACAGTGACAGCCATTCCGCCAAGTGAACACACTACGGAAGGCCAAACTGTTTCCCAAGTGGAGACACAGAATCAAGCTGAGACAGAGCAGTTGCCGTGACAACAAAGCATTTATGTGCAAAAGGTGTATTTTAAATAGCTGAGTAGATATAAGCATCTGCCTATGACACACAGTTGTATATAAAAATGGATCGATCGTCTCCAACAGACATCAGCTTCTTTCCGCAAGGGCTGTACCGAGTACACCAAACCTGTAAATTGGAAATGCATGGATATTCGTTACGCCATATACCAAAGAGGGTCTGCGTTGGAAAAAAACGACGAAACTACGAAACTCTTGGGGGAAGACCGACTGCACCAAATTAGTAAAGCCACGTTGGGTGAAACTATACCTAAGTGATGATGAACATTTGTGAACCATGTGTCCTTAGCTTGTTCTGGTTCCGAAATAAAGACATTCGTTGAAAAAAAACTCGTCCATACTGCTGCACTTGTCTCAGAGGCTACTGTTAGCAAGGCATGAGGCATACAGGAGAGGAAGAGCTTGAAAATTGTTGGTGAGGACGCCCCTATACTTGACTGGAGACACGGCAACAAGGTTTGGAACCGAGATCACTGCTGTTCGTTCAGGCTGATGAACTGTGAAGGGGGGGGGGTAACCGATTATTCCAACCTGTTTGGTTTTTTCTCAGACAGTAGAACTCCCAAAACAGAATCAATGTGGCTGTACGACAGTGAAATACCATTGTCCAACACTGGTGTTGACGTCAGTGATGATTAGTATGACTAGTTGAAGGTAGAGGCGAACCGTCTCACGATACAGCTCAGCATATTCCATCGTATGTCTTCGGACAAGAATAAAACTTAACGAGAGTTTAATAAATCACGCTAGCATTACCGTCACTTGGACAGTCGTCCTCCTGTCCTGGTGCAATAAGCCTCATGAGTGCATACCGAAGGAAGCCGTCACGAAGAGATGGACCTTACCGTGGTGTGGCGGTTTGTGTACATCGGCGACCCATTCAGTTATACTGGTGGTGTCCGCGCGACACAGTCTCTCATACCAGGTTGGTCAATGGGTAGAGGTCTGACGAACACAGTTTCCTGGCCCTCCAGGTTCAATGTTGAAACATACAGCGGCTTGTTCCGTATAAATTATAGTGCATTTGCATTTCCCGCCAAATACCGCTGCCTTGCGGTTAGGCTTTTGAGCAAAAGGTTTTGGTTGAGGACCCTAATCGTCCTCTTGTCTAGGTGTGGGCGCCCTGGCAGTATCCCAGCCCTCGTACAACCATGACATACATAACTAACACTCCCAGGCCACATCGGCCGTCACGTGGCACCACCAGCCGGGTCGCCTTACTTGCTGCATACAGCAGGGCGGGTGGGCAAAAACAGGCTACTGCTGACGCCTCCCTTCTTACAGTTCCGCGTTTTCCGTCTTTCACTCCCCCCCGTCTAAATTTGAATACTTTCTCCACAGGTCCCAGCTCTAGGACTAACCGTTCTGCTCGCCCTGCATCACACTCAGCTGTAACTTCCCCACGTCCGAGTTCAGTTACAACCTCGAAGTCTGTTTTCAAACCCCCCGAAAGCCGTCTACTTGGCCACCTTCAATGTTCGCACACTGAAGCAAGCGGATCAACAGGTGGCTCTTGCGCGTACGCTGGATTCCCTCTGTATTGATGTATGTTGTCTGTCGGAAACAAGGACACAGGAGGCAAGTACTGTGATCAAACTGACTGCCCCTTCGCTCTTTTCCAGGTTCCGGCTGCGCACCTCTGATGATGCGGAGGCTGCTACAGCTGGATACGCTGGGGTGGGTATTGTATTGAGCGAACAAGCGGAAGCGTCTCTGCTTGATTGAATACTCTTTGATAGTCGCCTCTGTGCGTTTCGTCTGGCAACGTCTGTGAAGGAGTGTGACAAGCGGCAAGTTGATAGATGTCTATATATCTTGTCTGCTGACTGTAGCTCCGACGCAGTCAAAGACAAGTTTTACGACGCCCTGAATGCCCTGCTGTGGCGAGCTGAAAGCAATTATATCGTGTTGGTTGCCGGAGATATGAATGCAAAAAGTAGGCAGGCTTGGTGTATCTGAGACTCAATTAGGTCGATATGGACTGGACTCGGTACGTACGGAGAATGAAGAACGATTGCTTCAGCTGTGTCCTGATCGCAGTCTGTTTTTATGCAGTACGAACTTTCGAAATAGCCGAAGTCGTCTGGCCACTTGGTATCCTCCAACGACAGGCCAACCACAAACTTAAATCGAACACATTGCCACATTACCGATAACGCGGATCAGTAACTGGCTGCCGGTCGTTTTGAAACATTTGTGGACTCTGGCCACGCGCTCGTCCGGAGTCGCTTCTCACTACGGTTCCCGGGGCCACGTAAGGTGCGGACGAATCGCCTGGCAACTGAAAGACTGGCAGATCCGGATGTCAGAGGAACTTACCAGAATCATTTTCTAGTGTCTCTACCAAATTCTCCACTATCAGATGTGAACTCACACTAGAACGAGGTTGTCACCTCTTTGCATAGCACGGCCCAACCAGGCTCACTCAAGCACCGGATATCAGACCGGTGGTACTGCTTGCATCTTGTAGAAATATCCCAGCCAGTCCAGAAAATAACCTGGCTATGACGAATTACCAGACGTCAATTGAAAGTGAGTGTGGGCTGACCGTGAAGTACGGTGGACACAGAAAGCCAAAGAAATGCAAGAGGCCCAGAAAGCCGGTAATGCCCGAAGATTATTTCAGTTGACCTGTGCGACCGGTCCACCGAAACCACCTTTGAGCGAAACCATCAAGGATCGGCACAGAGGAGAACAAAGAAGAACGCTTCGAGTCGCGGGCCGAATACTTCAAACAACAGTTGTCGTGGCCACCAGCTGTCACTCATCTGGAGCCCACAGTTGACGTAGAACCATGGACGGTGAATGTGGAACCACCAAAGGCCTCGAAGGTTTACGACCGTGCATCTTTTCTCCAGCGCCATCGAGTTTCTAGTCCGGATGACCTTCCACCCGCACTGTTCAAAGACGGGGGTGAAGTCCTCAGTCGACTGACTGTCGACTGTCTGACTTGTTCGCCTGTATTTGAGAAAAGGAAGTTGTTCCAGACAACTGGGGGATTCGGTGATACTGCCCATTTTCAAAAAGGGTCTCGTAGTGAGTGTGACAACCACAGGGGGATCAGCTTGACCCCGGTTGTAACGAGACTGTTGGCGTCAATTGTGCTTCGTCGCCCTACGGTGGCTGGTGAGACACTGACTCGAGAGCAACAAGCGGGATTCCGGCCTGGTAGGGGTCGCGTTGACCAAATCTTCTCACTTCGACAGGTGCTAGAACAACGCCATACGTATAAGCGACCCACGATTCTAGTACTCCTGGATTTGCAAAGGCGCTTTGACTCGGTTGACCGGTTTGTTCTGCGTGACATACTTGCCCATCAAGGAATGCACCGTAAGTTTGTGCACATAAAAAGCTAATTGTATTCTCAGACTTCCAGACATGCGAAAGTGTATGGAGAGCTCCTGTACACGAAGCGGTATATGTCGAGGATGCCCACTCTCTTCATCCCTATTAAACTTCGTGATCGATGAAGTCATGAGACGAACGCTAAAACGTCTCCGAAACCCTGGTGTTCAAATAGCCTGCTATAAGAAACTTGTCGATCTGGAATATGCAGATGACATCGTTTTCAACTTCGAAGAGTAGAAGCCGCGGGTGTTTTTGGATGAATTGACCAGTCATCCTGTCCTTTGGTATGTACTTTGCACCCACAAAGTTTAAAGTCATGCTCGTGGACATGCAACCACTGGACACGCCGCTTATAATCCAGGGAGAGGTACTGGAAGTTGTGGAGCGTTTTATGTATCTTTGAGGTTTTATCAGTTCTGACTGTAGTGTGACAGATGAGGTCAATGCACGAATCTGCAAGGCAGGGTCGCGTTTGCTAATTTAAGACACCTATGGCGTCAAAGTGATGTATCCCTGAATCTCAAGGGACGTGTGGAGAAGTTACAGTATGGACTGTATTGTTGTATTGCTGTGAGACTTGGCCTGTTCGAGCAGCGGAACTGAGACGTGTGCAGCTGTTCGACGATCGTTGTCTCGGAACCGTAGCTCGTGTGGGTTGATGTCGGCGAGTCCGTAATCAGGCGATGAGAAAGCGACTTTTCGGTCGTGCAACGGGTACTTCCATTGAAGGATGTGTCCAGCACCACAAGCTGTGTTGGTTGGGACGTGTTGCGTATGCTGAACCACCGCGAGAGTGCTATTTTCCATGCCCAACTCAAAGTTGCGGAAGCAGAGCAGGCGGCCAATCATTGACCTGGCAGAAGGGAATGAAATAGATTAAAAAACTTTTGACTGTCGGTGCTACTCGCCTTCCAGGATGGGGACCGCGTGATCCTCACTGTGCCTGGCTGGATGCACTGCGAGATATGGCTGCCAAACGACGTCAGCGGCGTCCCTGTTGTCAGTTTCTATCCAGAGTGCCTGAATGAGTGTCTGGATGTGTAGACACCTCAGAATGACTGTAGTGAGCTAGCACTAATTCCCTTCTCCATCCCCTCTTTTCACGATGATGAGTGCGGGAATCTTTAAACAACCTGATATGTCGGGTAAATAGTGCGTGCCTCTTTGTGTCAATAGGTTGGAAAGAACTCTCGAACCACCGCGAAATTGCCCAAATAGGTATTCAAATATTACCCCAGAATAACCTCAAGGGTTTTAATAGGTTCCACATTTAAATGATGATCGTACAGTGACAAAATCATATGATCCATCATATCTTCAGCGACGCAGTGGGACCATCAAAATGCACAGCATCTAATCGACCGGTTCTCAAATGGGATAGCTTCAGAAAAAGCAATAACGAAAAACAGTCACTGCCATAAAACGCTTCGCAAAATGCTTATCTTAATCCTGTGGTCTTAAAGCCATGACTACGCAATAGAGAAATACGTCTTTTTGTAAAGAAGTGGAACTTTACACTGCGTTGAGTTCATCTACGCGATATTACCTGTCAACACATAGTGAGTACAGACTGACTATCAAAGATACAGACTGACTATCGGAGAACTGTACCCTTAATCAGGACATAAGCAATTGTCAATGTAGGGAGTTACTTAAACTCGGGCTTCAACTTGGAACAGGCGGTTAGCACTTTATTAACTCACTTGATCCTCATGTTCGGTGAAGGAGTGCTTCTCAGCCTTGGCGTTTAAGTCCCATATACGAACAGAACGGTCTGTGGAGGCTGTGGCCAAATGTCTCATATCGGAGGAAAAATGAACTGACACGACCCAACCTTTGTGACCATTCAGACTGGAAATGATGGTTCGACCGTCATGTCTGGAAAATTGCACAAGAAAAACTGGGCATTACAAGAGGGCTTCTACTCCGGTGACTTCCTGTAAAATAAGCCGCAGAATAAGGTCCAATGACTTTGTCTACCAAATCCCAATACCGATCATTCTGATAAGGAGTAAAATGTGGGTGTTTTTCTCGCCAAATTATTTTATCTACGTTAATGACGGGTTAGTAACGGTAGGCTCAAAGAATTCCCGCCTGGTATAGTTCGTTCAGAACAAGCATCTTTCTAGTATGGAACACGCGTATGAAATAGTGCTTCCTGGCACCAAATTTAGCAGTTTCAGGTGGTCACTGGTTGAACACTCCAAAGATGGGGCTCCGTGAGGCAGACGTAAACTTGTCACTTAAGCTAGCAGACCAGCACTGAGATGTCTGAACACACCTCAGATGTTAGTTTGAAGAGCCTTTGAAAAGGTCACATGTTCGCTCGCCGTTCTGCAAGACATACGAAAGCGAAATAACATGAACGATCTCAGAGGCGAAAGGAAGTGGAATTATCAGCGAAAAGGATGTTGCACTGAAAATTCAGAATGCGCGCGCAACGTCAGCCTTCTGACCAAAAGAGGTATGTCGTGAGAGAGGTGACCAAAGCTCTGAGCTACCTGATAATACTTGTTGAGAAAAATACCGCGATACTAGCCTCATCGACGTCGAAAGAATTCTTCATCGATCAGTTACTTAAATACTTTCGAGAGGTGCGAAGAATTTACGGCTGATAGAATTAACGCTCATTCCATTCATTCGTAAAAACAACGGTTCTTACCGCGGTGATAGTTCACGCGCCTACGTAGCCTACTGAATAATACTGAGGGTTGCTCATATGACAGCTGCAGAGCCAAGTCAGAGTTGGAACATGTGTGGTGGTGTGTTCCTTAAAGCTTGCACTACTTTGGCGGTCCCACACCAATCACTGTTGCATTGCATCCGGGCTTTGAAGTTGAAGGCTTTCGTCAACAACTCTAGACGTCCTCCCGTCCATGTTTGGGAGCCCTTGTACATACAGCCATGAACTGCACAAATACCAAGTTTCAACCCACGTCAGCAGTCGTCATTACTCAAGCGGTCTTGCTGCATAATCCAGGGTGTCCAGGTGAGGACAGACTACGGCTGACGTTTTCCAATTTCCTCCCTTCTTGTAATATTTAACGACCATTGTTCTGAAGACCGTCTCCATGGGTCGAGACGTTGCAGTGGTTAGAGTACGAGTTTACTGACCAGAAGGTTCGAACTGGACATCTGCCTCTAGACATTCCATCTAGACTTGGGCAACTTGGCAGTATCCAAGCAGTCGTACTTCCTTTTGGTAGTATGACAGTGAGGCACCGAAAAGGTGCTACAGCTCAACAGTAGCTAGATCTCCTCCAAAGGCACGTCAGCCTTACATTCAAGGAAGTAGCGAAAAGCCTCCTTTTGGTAGACAGTGAGGCACCGAAAAGGTGCTACAGCTCAACAGTAGCTAGATCTCCTCCAAAGGCACGTCAGCCTTACATTCAAGGAAGTAGCGAAAAGCCTGCAATCGCCAAGTCATGTCGCTTTACAAGCTCCTCGGAGAAAACCAAGGAACACGTTCCTCGCTTGGTCATCGGAAATCTTTCTGACCCACAAGGCTAGAAAGCCCCATCGCTTATCAAACGGGAATCGCGATCGGGATGAGATATGTAGCACCACTCATACGACAGGCAACTATGTATATGTTGTTTTTGAGGGATCGCCATATGAGGACTGGAATTTAGGGCACCCGCTGTTGCTTTTGGATGGGAGATTCGATATACCTTCAGATGCGATGACTAATTCAGCCATGTATTTTAGACACTAGCTCAGGAATAATCTACGGTTGGATAGAGAAACCTGGTGGAATCAGAAGGCTCTGGAAATGGAAAGAACTAATGTAGCTGGGAATGTTTGATACGCAAAACGAGATCAAAAATGTGGCTGTCAGTGAGGCCATCAAATATAATACTGAAAATCTAATGTACAAGAATCTCTGTCTCAACTGCTGGGCTGAATATGTTGCCTGCCACTGTGCCAATGGATTACACTCAACCCGCTCATATGGAGCTGTGGTCTGAGTTTAGGCGCTCCCTCAGTTTCTTTCTGCATTGAAGCGCGATTAGTTTGCACGGCCCGATGAGATCCCATTAACGCTTTTCAAAACCGTGATGAATTTTCTTATTTTGCCTTATCAGGTTGCTCAAACTAACTTGGGAACAAAAATGCATTCCAACAATATGGGGCCAATCAATCAAGCGACTGCTCTAACTGTACGTACATAAGCCTACCAACTTCAACAATACTGTGACTTTTGATCTCACTGCGCGCGACACAAGCAGGTAGGATTGCAACCAGGTAGGGGATACGTGAAAAATTGAAATCGTCCAGCTACAACACCCTTTCGGTACATAACTGCTATGCTACCCGAAGGAAGGCATACTATCAAGGATATTGCTGTCAGTGCCCAAGCCTAAACGGGAGTAATCGAGATGCAGAGGTTGTGCTCGAACCAGAGACCTTCCGATCAGTTAGTTTGAGCCTTAACCAGAGAGCTACCTCGAGCAGCATCACGCTCACCGCCGACCAAATGTAGCCTAACTTCCAAGGAGCCTTCGACTAGGTGGACAGGTTGACTCCTCTATTTGGCCTCATAATCTTACTACTCCTATACTTGGCCAAGGAGGAATGCTTCCAAAGTGTGAATATTGCGCATGCCATTCAGTCTGCTTACTTGTGGTCAGATTAGGATTTAGAACGACCTACGGAAAGTCCTCCTCATTACCAGTGAGGTTCGGTAGGATTGTCCCATCTCCTCAATTTTGTTCAGTTTCGTCATTAACATCATCATGGAATGTAAAAATAAAATAAGTAGCTCAGTTGCGGCCCCCTTTCGCTGCAAAGTTACCGTGCAACTTGAAAGAGCACGAGCTGAAATAGTGCGGAGCTACCCACAGCCAGATAGGAACAATCACCTGCGAATCTTCCGTGTCTATAAAACGACCATGAGGGCAGTCCTACTCGAAGACTGTAAATCCGATCTTCAGCCAGTTGATCAACGATGTCTCCGTAGCATAACTAGCGTTAAATGGCTGCAGCGCGTGCGAAGTAAAACTGTCCGTAACCGGGCGCTACGTAATGAACCATGTTCACCCGAGCAGAAGATTACAGTGCTTGTTGGGTATGGTAAGCATGCCCGACCACAATCGAAAAAGCCGTTTTACACGCAAATCACTTGTTAATGAAAAGTTCGCGGATCATACACGAAGCTGTTGCCAAGTTAAGCACTCTGTGATCTCTGTACCTTCTTGGGTGGGATCCACCTGCCTGTTCGTGGTTGAAAACCCTACAGGATATAGCACGTAACCGATCCCAGTGGCCAGCTTGCTGTTACTTTCTAGCCGGACTGTGCAGCTAACACCTGTCTGTCGTGTTCTCGGCTTTGTGTGAGTTGCTTTGGGCGCGTTGAGTCCATCCAGCTCCTGACACATTGCTCCAACGTGACACTCAGTTGTGTTTATGCCAATAGTCTTCGAACGTAGAGGTACCTCATTCTTGACCGTTTTCCAAAGAGCACAAGGATTTTCGCAGTCGTCCCCTTTATTTCACCGTTTACTATGACATTCTTCATCCATTAAGGGACAAAATAAGATAGCATAACACGATGACAGCTATTATAGATGAGCTTCCACGGCATCTACCAACTGACTAAGATTGTCTTAACATATGCGACGACTTCGCTTCAAATAGGGGCCATCGTGATTCCAGGCGTCATTAGAGCCGGCTCGTCTGAAAAACCACACAGTCGCCACAAAATAGTGAATAGTAGTGAAACAAAACAGGGAAACTGCACCCACATACACGTCAAACACCTTGATCTGCTTGTCATCTGATGTGGAAGCAAGTAACCGTCCATCAGGAGAGAACGCTAGGGAACGGACAGGCATTGCGTGACCATCAAGTGGGCGGATTGTGCCGGTCTGGAGATCGCAAATGCTAACAATTCCGTTGATCGCTCCTGCTGCCAATTTGGTGCCATCCGGGCTCTGTAGAAAGAACAGAAAAAAACTGTTGCGGTGCAGAGGCGATAAACCTGTGGCAAGTTTTCATCAAATTCATTCGAGCGATGTAGTTCCAACCCTATAACCAAAGAACGCCAAAATTCTCCGGAAACAAACCAGTAAGGGAGGATTTAGATAATCAAACTACATGGACACCAAATGTCCATATAAAATGAGAAACTGTGAAATAGTGAAGTAACGATCTGTAACTACATCAAATGGACGTTCCCCACTTTTATTCCCTGGAGGTGGGGGTTAAATAACCTGATATCTTATGAATATTATATATATATATACATATATATATATATACATCCTAATGTGACTAAGGATATCGAAAAGTTACTTTTCATTCGATTTGTGTTGACCTTCGTAACATTCTAGCGGCAACATATCCACACCGTTAATTTTGACAACACTGAGGAATGCGGACGATTTACAATTGCATCAGGAATATAACATCAGCCTGCAAATACTAAACCTATGCTATTATACTTAATCGAAAAAATACAGATGCACCGGGCTCGACGATTTTAAGCACAATCTAGATAACTGTGCTGAACTCCAGTGATAGATGCCTACTCCACCATATGGTTCAAATCAATTGTCACATAGTTGGGAAATGCACCTACGTAGGCGAGGCTGTACACAAATTTGCCATCCAGTTGAATAACACTTTCTTTGTTGCCCGAATCCACCCCAATCATATTTACACAACCCGCGTGGCTTCCGGTGGCGATAAAGCGTGAATCTGGGGAAAGGGCAACGGTCCAAGTGTCAGCTGGATCACCTTCATAGGTTTTCAGCAAACGTCGGTTCTCCAGATCCCATATGAGGATCTGCAAAAAAATTGGAGCAACGTCCGCTCTGTAAGTGAGTGGATATCACAAGCTTACCATGATGAATTGCCACAAGATGCGTCAATTTAACGAGAGGAAAGAGTGAGGNTAAGTGTGGGATAGGTTGGTGTAGCAATATATAAAGGACGTCACCAGAAAGGAGAATTAAACAGTACTTGAAATCTAGAAGTGCACAGTCCGCTCCTGCTAACGCACCAATAAACGATCATCCGCACACAATGGTACCTTTCAGATGTGGACAGTGTCAAATGGTTTGAAACTACTTACTACCGACAGGTCCTATTCGTCCGAAAACTCACGTGAACACGTTTTCTGATACCACCAAGTCATAAAGAAACCACCAATTGGATAGGCGTAGGCTTACCGAGTTCGGACCACAACCCAATAGCTAGTCGGAAAATTCTTCGGCGCTATATGAACGAACTAGTCCTAAGTAGAGTAAGTGCAATCAGCGAGATAGTAGGAGCTTCTGAAGGACTGTGAATTAGTACGTTTTGGAGAACTGGACCAAATTGACATTCCGTAGCGACACACCAGTTGTCACGCACATTTGAGTTCCCCAATACTGGTCCAGAAAAAATAAAACACTGGGAAAGTTGCACACCTTAAAGGATGATATGCGCTAACAACCGGTCGGGCTAAAACTTCGAAAATCTGGAGTTTCTTATTCAAAACAGAGCTTCGAATTTCTGCCAATGATTCGATTTTCCCAGAAATACACCCACTAATGGGGAAAACTATTCTGAAGGAATGGCTGTGTGATGAAAGCCACAGATCTTTCAAATGATGAGGAGGACTGATGGTTTTTCGGTCCCAGCTAGTGAATCTAATTTTCTACTGGCCAAAAAAAACTAGGATTCGGCGGGAACTTGGGGGCGCCTTTCAGTGCACCATTCAGGGCTAATGTAGCCATAGGTTCAAGTCTACGGTGATGGCGGCCCTCAGCCTGGCTAGCTATTTGGCAAGCAGTAACACGGTCTGTCCTAGTTTGTTTCTATCTAGACGGTTTTTACGGTTAACAGAGCCCTTCTGGAAAGTTGGTTCTTGATAAAAGCTGTGGTACGTATCCAGAACGTCTATTTTATGTGAGTTGCTTCCCGATTATTCTTACAAGGCGCATTTTATCCTTATCAGAAGGCGACACCGGCCGCAGAGATAAGATGGAACAACGATTCCAAAGGACAGTCGTGCGTAAAGATCAGAATTTACAGCTTGCGAATTCACCAGACAAACGAACAAAAAACGTTCTCACCTGACTGTCTAAACTACTGGATACCGCCATTTTCCCCGTTGAATCGATGTCCAAAGAAATAACGCCAAGACGATGACCTTCTAGAGGGCCAATAAGTTCAAGACGATCATCCACCCTGTTGCAAAAATCAACATCAGATTGCAAGACATGTAGAGTTACCATGAACATTAAATCCTTAAGTCAGACAAACAGTTCTTTTTCGAAGGTTCATCATGAAATATCTCCTTCCCAAGCTGAAAGTCATGAAATTTGCAGCTACTAATGAAACGCCTGGATTGCTTGTAATGCGCTTGTTTGTAATGCATAGTACAATTACACTAATTTACAGTAATCCCCCTCCTCCACGAGAAGCCAAAGTCAGAACAAACTCCCGTCACACACGGACGGATATGTCTTAGGGAACAAACTTTGTTTATGTTACCCCGAAAAGTTTTCTACATTCCAAACGAATGTCCTGAGCAATAGAATGAGGAATTCAGAGCACATATGACGGAGGCAATGGGTGAAGAAAATGATACCAAAAGATGCAAGCTGAAAGGATAGAATAACTCACCATTTCCACAGTTTCAGTCCATTGTCCAAAGATCCAGTCATGATGTATTGTATGTCACTGGCCTCATTTTTACCCCAGGCACAACACCAAATCCCATCATCGTGGGCTAGATAGAAAATAAATATGAGAAATCGTCATTGGTACCAAGGGTACAGCAAATGGCTCAGTGTGAGCACTTGCTGGACAATTATTTATAGAAGACCAATAAGAGGATTATACTCGATCTATGGAACAGAAACAGATAAATTCCCGAATTCTAATGCAAATGCACACTACGATGTTCGTTGCGTTAGCTGTGTTCGAAAAGCAGTAAATTTCGCAGAAAAACCGAACCAACTAACGTTAGCTTGTCAGAGGCTTGTTCCAGAGGTAAACCACTTTCTGCTTGCTTGTCGCGAAGACTTCGACCCGACTTTTTATTGAATATATATCGTTAAATATATCATTATATATTATATATATGGAGGCTGGAACATTTGCACTAGCTTCTAAAAAAAGAAGATGGACAACGGAGCTTTTACCTAACATCTACCGCGAGAACGGCATGCGGTATACGGGATGCAAACGGAAGACCCTTTGAATTTCGGAACCGCTCTGAA